AATTTAGATCAATTAGGAGGTATAAAGATTCGGCTCCTCTTGTGAGAGCTAAGAAGGATACAATGTACCAATGTCCTAACACAGAGAACTAGATACTCGATCGTACGATAAAAGTTCTCCCAACGCAGGAATCGAACGGGTCAGGTCTTCTGCGTGTTACGCGCGCGCACGTGTGTGTGTGTGTGTGTGTGTGTGTGTGTGTGTGTGTGTGTGTGTGTGTGTGTGTGTGTGTGTGTGTGTGTGTGTGTGTGTGTGTGTGTGTGTGTGTGTGTGTGTGTGTAAAAACAAAAGAAAGAAAAGTCAGGAAAAATAATTGACTGTCAATTGATTAAAATGATTAATTATTTCTTCCATAGGAAATAGGTACTTCAGCAAGTACAGATAAGTGCTATTTTTTAAGCACGATATCGAATCGTTTGAAAAGGAAAATAAGGTGTGGGAGCTTAGCAAATTATACTTTTTTTCCGTCAACTTCCTCAACCATAATCTTTTACGCATCCCGAAAGCCACGCTTGTGTGCTATTTCGCTACAATATTTTGAACATCCTTGCCGTTAATAGAAGACATGAGTGTTGCCAGGCACAAAAAAAGGTTTTTTTAATAGTTTTTAGTAATAGAGCTGACTGAAGACGCAGCTGAGCATGAGGCTGTAAGGCTTTCTGGAGAGGGAAAGCTTGTTTAAAGGTCCGGCTTTTTCCTTGAAATGATTTCCGCGTTGGGGGTCTTTTAAAAAATTGTAAATCCTTCTAAGATAAGCTCAGTCGAATTACCGTTTGGCTGCTCTATCTTCGGGTATTTTCAGAAAATCAGCCTTCTCTTTTATTAGTTAAGAAAAAAAAAAAAAGAAGCGTTACTTTCCCCCATTGCGTCCTAAACTGATCAAATTCGGTTATGTTGATTTTGAAGAGAACAAATAAACGTAAATGCCTTGCACGACCATTATGAATTAATCATAATAGTATAAATACATCTGATATATTTGTTTTCTTTTCTATTGGAAAGTACCCGCTATTCTTTTACTCTTTGCACTGTTTGACTCAGTGCTTGCAAACACTCTGACCTTTGCACATTGTGCTTACCAAGTAGGCCTACAAATTATGTATTTACGGCTGATAATAATATCGGCGAGGAGGATGTTAGAGCTTCCTCTGTCTTTGTGCTGCTAACGACCCGCGGTGGGAATTCTGTCTGGGTCAGGGGTGAGCACGAGGAACTCGCACGAGTTCTTCAGTCGTGCGTGGAAGTACAGAAGGGGTCACTCCACTATAAAGTTTTTGTACCTGAATTTCATGGCGAGAAAAACTTGAGTCCTCTGACAACTTAACAAAGACTTACACTGCAATTGTTTTGGGTTTGAAAAAAAAAAAAAACAACCCTAAAAACTTTGGAATTTTACTTTATGTGATATTTTTGGTAGAATTTGTTGTGTTGTTATTTGAATCTGTCGTTGTTGTTTTGTCTTGTGATAGTGTTTTATTGAGCCTCTAAGGGACCCGAAAAACTGTCTCTCCGACTTTTGAGCTAATAAAATGCCGACAAGCCAATATATAGGGTATTTGAGCTGGTTGGAGATGTTGTGTTTGGGGGAGTGGAGAGTAGGCGCGCGCGCGCGTGTGTGTGTGTGTGTGTGTGTGTGTGCGCGCGCGTGTGTGTGTGTGTGTGTGTGTGTGTGTGTGTGTGTGTGTGTGTGTGTGTGTGTGTGTGTCTGTGTGTGTGTGTGTGTGTGAGTGTGTGAGCGCGTGTGGACTTTCATGTTTGTAACTATGAGTGCTGTGTCTGTTTGTTTATTATTTTTTGTTCTTATAGGGTTTTGTATAATTATATTATGCTTTCTTCACAATTAAAATAAGTTAACCTTTGACTGGGCAGTTAGCTGTTTTTATAAAAGGAGCACACAAAGCACTACAGCCAAATTTTGTAATAATTTACTTGTACAAAATGAACAAGTGCTTAACAGTAACAGTATAGAAAATAAAGATCAGTGCAAAACCTAAAGCCACATTTATGATGTTGAATATATATCTCACAAAAAATAAAGGCAGTGCTCTCCAGTTATTCATGCTATCTGCCCTTTGCTATTTCTCTCCCAGAATTGCTCGATTGATTACCTTTCGTGCGTATCGAACTCGGTGAATCGATAACACAATAGTATTGAACATCAAAGTACATCAAAGTAAAATCTCCTTTGGTAGCCTTTGGTGTGTGGAGTCTTACTCACTTTACTTTATCCGTCCTCTTGTACCTCTAGCGCGTCGAGGGGAGAAAGAGCTTCCTGCGTCTAGCAAGTTTGATGGCCTGGCTGGGTGGGATATTGAATGTTCTCAGGGTATCCTTCATACACCCTGGATCCAGGTCTTTCTTGGTCTTCCTCTTGCTTTGTACCCTGACACTTTCTTGTAATAGGCTTTACTGGCAAGCTGGTTGGTGTGTGGAGTACAATCTCAAAATGCTCCGAACGCATTGTTTCACACTCAACATGTATCCATCGGGTTTGTTGTTGTTGTTGTTGCTGTTGTTGTTGGTGGTGGTGGTGATGGTGGTGGTGGTGGTAGTGGTGGGGGTGGGGGTGTTTATTTGCTTTGTTGTGGTCGCTGTTGTTTTTCTTGTTTTTGTTTTGTTTTTGTTTTGTTTTATTATTCAGTTTTTTTGCTTTTGAGGGGGTGGGTGAGTGCAATGTCATCTTGTTTTATATCTCTTGTTCAATGTGGCATCTTAACATTGCTTATAACATATCAATATACATTTATTTTAAAGGAATTACAATCCCACCCCCACCCCCTCCCCCATGAATTTCTTGGTCGCACACAACAAATGACAATATCATCAGCGTGTAAGAATAAAGCCATACTAATGGTCTTTGTGGTGTAAATGAGAGGCTCTCGCGTCTCCTAGACAAGACATGAGTTCGATTCCCGAGCGGGGTAGTTTCTTTTTAAAGTAATGATTTTACAAATTATGGAGTATGTCCGTTTGTCTGCTGCTTGTTGTATCCCTCTCAACCCGACTAAACTTGGCCCTGACAGCCTCGTAGGTCAAAACAGTCCATCTTCCAGTTGTGTCGTTGGCAGCGTAAACACTGACGTACAGTTAAAGAGAAACCTTAGATTGTTCATTATATAAAGGGCTTCTGCGCGATAACGGTGCTTCACGAACCTGCCTAACGTTAATCATCATAATATAATATACCTGGTAAATAGAATAATTGTGAGTTTGGTTTCGTATTGCCTGCTCAGCAGATGTTGACGAAAGAAAGGAGTTGACCTATAGATGATTGTGGTGCAACCACACGAGAATGTTTTCCTTACTTTAACGTTATTATTACAAGACATGTCTGGCTAGAAGAGAAAAGTCAGTCAACAAAGTCGGGTGGGAGTTAGGCATTTGGTTGGAGGGGGGGGGGGCGGCAATACTTGAGCCAAAGTAAACTTCTGACAATAATATGGATTGGAAAGAAACCATACTTTTACCGTATAATGGGTTTGTGCGGGATAAAAGAAGTGTCCCAGACCAGCTCACAATGCAAGGAAAAATCATAAAATGATTATCAGGAATAATTTAGTTTTGTACTGCCTGCTTAGATGTTGACAGAAGGAATGAGGGAACCAAGGGATAGTTGTTGTGCAGTCACGCGAGAATGTTTGTCTTACCTTAAACTCATTAAGACACGAAGGGTCTGGAAAGAGAGTAAAGGTCAGCCGAAAAAGCAGAGATGCCTAGGAGGGGAGGGGGTGTTGAAAGCAATACACAAGGAAATGTGGTTTTGCTGAAAGAAGGGTTAATAGCAGCTTGTGAGTAATTAGTAACCACTTGTCCTAGGAGGGAGATAAACAGTTTTATGCACTCTGAAAAGAGTCGTATCCTTTTTTTCTTTTTTCTTTCTTTCTTTCTTTCTTTCTTTCTAAAGCTGGCCTTCTCCGGAGAGCGGCAGCCTGCCGCTTGCGGTCAGATATTGTGACGACCTCTTTGAGTTCGGTCCGTTGCACATCTGGTCAGGGCCGGGTATTGTCTTGCAGCAGCGATTCGCGATGAAGAGTCGTATCTCACTACAGTTTATACCCAGAAGTACGATATATTGAAGAGGTCTTAGACAACTGAACAGATAAATCAAGTACAGCAGAAAATCAATAAATAAGCGAAAGGCAAAACATCATGTTGTAAAATGATGGTCAAGTAGCCTAGAGATTGCTATCGGTCAAATGTGTTGGTTGAAAGCAATTTACGGGAAAATAACACTGGAAATTACAAAATCGTGCGCGAAAATAGTCTGTTTTATGCACGCACGCGTGCGCAGGCGCACACGCACACGCACACACACGCACGCACGCACACACACACACACACACACACACACACACACACAAACATACACACACAAAGCTTCATTTGCCTCCACCGTCTAGTAGAAATGTTCACGTCGGTGGCACTCCGTGCTATGGGACTCTAATACTAATAGGCCATATATGTGTTGGCTTCCACGGTGCACATGCAGTGACAATCTCTTTGTTATACAAAAAGTAATCTCACATTTACACAACTTTGGTCCGACGGTGTGTCCTTGGGAAAGGCACTTTACAAGAATTTTCCATTTGGCTCGGTCCTTTCGGAGACGGACGTTAAACTCGGAGGTTCTGCCTCTTAAATGGTCGCTTTTAAGGACAAGTGAGCTAACCCAAATGTCGCAGGTTTTCAGAAATCTTGACCAACACCAAAAGTGGGCATTGCCCGACCTATAGGAGAAGTTTGGCTTCAATGGTGTGTATATTTGTTAGGTTATAGAGAAAACTCTCCTTGTCTTTTAAAGAATTTGAACAAGGGGCAAAAAAGTTACCTTCGATTTTCTCAAAACAGCATTTTTCGGGATAGCCCCCTTGTGCTTAAAATCGACCAAATAGCCCAATAGTATTGATAGAAGCGCTAAACCTATGCCATTTGAATTTGACTTTTTTTTTTACACAACAGGTTCTTTACTAATGTCTTCCTCTTCCTTTGGACTGTTCCAGGACTACTCGCTGACCGTGTTCCTCCGTCAAATATGGACTGACCCCAGGCTTCGCTTTGCCCACGGTCCCCACGACAACGACTCGACTGTCTCGCCTCACGATGAGCTGATCCGACACTCCCTCGACCGTCTGGAGCTGGACTCGAGGGTTACGGATCAAGTGAGTAGGCCTACTTCTTAAAGGGCGATGCCCGCTTCAGATCTAGCTGTTAAAGAAGAAGAGCGCACCATACAGTTCCTTACAGATATTGCATTGTAAATTTTACACTCGACAACCAGCCGGTACCTATGATATAATAGTTATACCCAGCAGTGCACATTGCGCAAATTTTCGCCAGATCCCTATTTGATACAGGTTTAGTTCAATTGACCGCCGTCATAATTCGTATTTCTTCATGGAGGGCAAAACCTATCATTTCTGGCACGGTTTGATCATATACCGCAAAATCAAATAGGCCTACAGTCCTTTCTAGTTAGACGATACGGCCCACAGCTATGTACAATGCTACTGTGCACATGGTAGATGTAAATCTTTTGTTTCCGCATGAAATGCAATAGGCCCAAACGAACGTTATCTTTCTTTTTCTTCATTTTTGTTGACTTTCAAATAATAAAATATACACCCTACAAACACTGTTTATAAGTCATAGTGTGATATCATCATGATCATAATCATCATAGTTCTTGTCGTCTTTTTCTTGAACTTGTCCTTCCTCCTCCTCCCTGGAGTGAGCCCACGTTTATGTACGTCCTACACACACACACACATACACACA